AGTTCTTTGCTTCTTTGAAATGTCTTCCAACAGTATAGATCTTGTGAATCAGATCCTCCACGCGGATGATGCCATATTTACCTAGAGATCGGACAATCAATGTGTTATCTGTCAGGGCAATTCGCTTCTTGTTGATCTTGCTGTAATCATGCTTGTAGATCAGTTCATTCACCGACTTCACGTTTGGGTATCCCCATGCTATATACGGTTCCACAATCCTTAGCATGTTAACTGAAGCCTTGTTGAGCTTAACAAAGGTGCCATAGAGGATCTGGTGAAGGCTAAGAAGCTGCAACACCTTTCGAACCTTTGGGTTTACGCCACTGATAACTCTGATCCTGATGACAAATGCCAACATGGGTTCTGCAGGCACATATAAGTTGGCACCTTTTCTTACCATCCTTGCTGTTCGAATCTCAGTTCTGTACGTCTGCCTGTATTCCTTGTACTAATGCTTAGCTTTTTCATATGTAAGCTTCCTCCTTGCCTTTCAAAGCATCTTTTGGGCAAACTTTTTTCTCACATGCTTGATCTTCAACTCTGTGAAATTCCTTCACTTTTCTTAAGGGTTTCTGGCACAGCAGGAACCTTCTTTTTCTTCTCTTCTGTATCCTCCATGGTTCCAGCCAGACCAAACAGGTTATGATCTAAAAGACTATTAGAAGTTTCTTTATTTGAGAAGTCCTAAGTTATATTACACTAGCTATTATTCATGCTGCTTGTCAGTGGCAGGAAGAATTGTCCTGCTTTTCAACATGGTAAATATCTGTGTTTGCAGCAATGAGAATTCTTGACCTGGGAGTTCATAAGATAGATGCCTGTGCAAGGCAGTATAGAAAGTGTGCTAAAAGAGGGAGGGACACAAAGCCATTCACACTCAGAAGAGAATGAGTCATAGCTGGTGACAGTGCAGTGACATTTTTAGTAGTTTTCTGTGGTGGTGGTAGTGGTGGTAGGGACGGCTTTCAAGATGAGCCTCAAAGAAGGAATAGCATTTTGCAAAAGTAGAAGTGGCAGGAAAGAGAGCAGCTTCAGAGAGCATCACAGGTGCATGAAACTGAAGGTTGGCTCTCTGGCGTGAGAAGAATTAGGGAAAATTAAATTTTTCATGTCTTTTAAGGCCTTTGTTTATGTCATAGGAAGGCAGGTCAGAGAGTCCAAGGAGGAGATAAATACAGTATTAGTCAAGAAAAATATTTCTAGGTATCTTTTCAAGGTATCCACTTGCAGGGAAAATCAGCAGCCAAGTGCTGGCAGTTCTTTTGTGTGTACCTTCAAATTCTAGATTGTGATCTCCAAATAGAGAATCCATCACCACATGTGGCTATTGAGCTCTTGAAATGTGATATTCCTTTTTTTCAAAGATCCACACACACACACACACCACACACACAGCATGCAAGTGTGTAAGCCCAGGGGGGGAAATGGGGGTAGGAGAGGGAGGGAGAGAATCTCAAGCAGACTCTGCACTGAGTGGGGAACTGGATGCGGGGCTTGATCTCAGGACCCTGAGATCATGACTTGGGCTGAAATTAAAAGTTGGATGCTTAACTGACTGAGTCATCCAGGGCCCCAAAATGTGGTATTCCTAATTAAGATATGTTGTCAATGGAAAACACCTGTTGGATTTTAAAGATGTAGTATGAAAGTAAAATATTTTAATTTTTATATTACATGTTGAAATTGAGCATATTAGATTAAATAAAATGTTAAAAATAATTTTACCTCTTTTTACCATTTTAATGTGGCTACTAGAACTTTTAAAATGATGCATGTGGCTCTCCTACATGGCTTGCATTCTATCTCTATCAGGTGGTGCTATGCTAGAGGTACTTGTCATATTTTTAAAATTCTTTCATCCATTCTAGGGTTCCTTGAGACCTAGATGTCAATAAATGAATCTGGTCATTCAGATATGAAAGAAAACTAGGTTTTGTCCATGGTTGGGCTGTGTACGTCGTTCTCTGGGCTTCTGATTTTTTTCATCAGCATTGTGAGGACATTGGATCAGATATTCTCCACCCTTTTAATTTTAATTTTTAAAACTCTGTGGCTCTAGCTTGGAGCCAATGCTCAGAGTTCAACTATTATTAACCTTTTCTGTATTCTCTTGAAATGTCTCCACTATTCTCTTTACCAAATATCAAAAAAAGTCAGGATTATTTCCTTTTTCTGTGGTCCTTTTGTAAATTCTGGAGTGCAAAGACTTGAGAGAAGAGAGTTCTGATAAAGAAACCTCCTCCCCTTTGCCTTCTCTGCCTAGCGGCCCCATCCACACTGATCCCAGTATGCAATCCTGGGCAAAGTGACCCCAGCAGCATCTAAAACAATACAAGTATCAGAGATTTTGAGGAGGTCTCCTTTCTTTGGTTCATGACTGTCAGGTCTACTTTCAAATACCCCAAGCGTTCTTTAATCGCTGATTAGGGCTGCTAAAAATGAAGAATTGAAGTGTTTTCCCTTTTAAGAAAGCGGTGGGCAGACCAACAAGGAGATACAGTGCTTGGTGACTTGGTAACCTTTGGGTTACAGGTAAGGAAAAGGAGGTGACCCTAGGAGCAGACAGGTAGTGAAACATTTACTTCCAAATAAGAGTCTTTGATATTCAAAGTGAGATAGATTTTCGTCAACTAGCAGCAAGTCAAATAAAACCCGCCCCTCTCCCCACAGATAGATAACATTGCATTGGAACATCTGTGTCTGGGTGGAAGCTTGTTGCTATATTGAAATCCCCTCTCTTGATACCAATCACAATGTAGTATTTTGCCATTAAATTTATTTTTCTTTAGGAATAAGTCTTTATACTGTAAAGTAAAAGTAACATTATGGAAAGGAGGGGTTATATAAAAACAAAGTTTTACTGGTTTGAAAAACAAGGGTACTGGAGAAAGGGAAAATATTGCTTTGCCTGTGGAGTCGATTTTATTGCAAGTGTCTGAACTGAAGTTATTCTTAATAAAATCTTGACTTTTTTCTCAGGGTGTGGATGAAAAAAATATATCTGCAGGGGTATTTTTGGTAGCCAGTAGTTCTTGGCTTTTGATGTGAGGTTTGTAGGAATCCCAAGACGATAAGGTGCTAATTGGTTCAGATTGAAAACTCAGATAATTGGACTGATTGTGAACATAGAAATGGTAATAATATCTAATGTTTACAGAGCAAGGGGTATGATTATTTTATTTACTATGCAAACATTTGTCTCTTGAGTGGACAGAAGATTAAAGCACTCATCAACTTACATACCTATGATTAGGGCATATTTTATTAAATATATAAAATGTGAAATACATAATCATCTTGGTCCATGAAATGCCAATGATGTGCATTTTAAAAAAGGACAACTCAAGTTTTATGAAATATTGCCTGGAAAACAGCTTTAGATTAAAACAGTGATGAGTTCTCTCTTTGTTCCTTTCTCTCCATGTGCTGCCCCAGAATACCATGTATTTTAGTTTCTCTAATTAAAATTAGTATAAAAAAGCTTAAAAATATGCCATCCTATGCCATTCCTCAATAGAAGGAAGTTGGAAATCACTAATATGCAGTTTTGTTAATGTGCTGGTACCTGAAGACAAGAGACACTCCAGCTGGTTTGTAAAAATTATATATGGGGGGCAGCCCCTGTGGCGCAGCAGTTTAGCGCCGCCTGCAGCCCAGGGCGTGATCCTGGAGACCCTGGATCCAGTCCCACGTCAGGCTCTCTGTATGATGCCTGCTTCTCCCTCTGCCTGTGTCTCTGCCTCTCTCTCTCTCTGTCTCTATGAATAAAAATAAAAAAAAATCTTAAAAAAATAATTGTATGTGGGCATATGAATGATTGATATACTGCTCAGGTTTTGAAAGCTCAAATAGTTACCCTTTGTCCAGTGTTAAGTATAATAATAAGGTTTATTTATTACCATGTGTGTAAAATCAGAAAGCTCACCATAGATTATAACTTCAAATTATTTTCTATCATCTATTTGTGTAATGAGGCATAACACTTATTTAATAATTTATGCATTTAATCATTTGTTCAGTAATTGTTTATTGATAGCTTGTGGTATATGAGGACGATAAGGGGCTGTAGCAGTAGGCAAGATAGAAAAGGTACTAAGCTTGATAGATAAGTCAGACCATGAACAAACTCCCCAAAAAACCTGCCAATGACAGCAGTCAGTGATTGGAAAGGCACACATTGGGATGAGAGATCCTGTGTGCTGTGGAGGGCTGGTGGGTGTGCCTTAGGTAGAAGATAGCCAGTGAAGTCTTCCTATGGAAGCAATAGTCAAGGTGAGATCTGAAAGATGAGCCAGGCTTTCAAAGTGAAAACAGGTTCACATAGTCAATGGTGTGTAGTGTACTCAGAATTGAGGTAGTTTTGCTCTGTGTGATGCCACTGGTATGGAAAGGTGACATTCTGAATTGACACAGGAACCAGCCACTTAGGAAAGGGTTAGTGCACAGCTGTGCAGCATACTGTCAGGTCAGGTGTTGAACCCTAACTGGTTGGGTGATTGGGAGACCAGCTGGGAGTATCACTCAAAAGGGGTCGTGGCCACAGTGATTTACCCACTATGGTCCAGAAGTATTTCCTGTTTAAACAGGCAGTATGGCATCTATAATGGTTGAACATCAGGCATGCTGGTGTGCAATTTTATGAATTTTATGATTTAAGGAATTCTGATTAACCGATTGCCATTATACATCATAAAAAAAATTCTGCCCACTTCATAGTTTAGTAGAGAAAAGGAAAGTTAAGTTCCTATTTTCATGGCCGGCAGTCTTGAATTTAAAGCCTGGGGTCCCATTTTTGAGGAGGTGGCATTGTCATATTGGATGTATTCTTCCCAAGAAGGTAGCAGACCTAACTTCATGTCTTCTTCTTTTTTTTTTTTTAGACGGCATCACTGTCCACATCTCCCTACCAAGATTTATGATAAAATAGAGAAACCATGTCTTCTCTCCGAATATACCGAGAACTACCCTCTCTATCACTCTTACCTGCCCAGAGAATCCTTCAAGCCCAAGCTGGAGTACCAGAAAGGGTCCATCCCCATGGAAGGCCTGACCACATCAAGGTGAGTGCAAGTAGAATAAATATAAGAATATATTGAATAAATATATGCATATGTATATATACATGTCCAGCGCTAATGTATAAACAATATTAATATAGTATACAGGATTAGTGCATCAATGTACAGTGTCAATGTATGGTGTCAAAGCCTTTTAAAAAAAAACATTTTATTCATCAGAGACCCAGAGATATAGATGGGCAGAGGGAGAAGCAGACTCCTTGTGGGCAGCCTGATGTAGGACTCGATCCTGGAATTCTGGGATCACAACCTGAGCCAAAGGCAGATGCTCAACCACTGAGCCACTCAGATGCCCCTGGTACCAAAGCCTTTAATGTCAATATACTGTACCTCAGAAAGGAAATCATGCATTTGTTAGCCTGCTCAGTTTTTCCCAACCTCTTCTTACAGAGAAAAAAATGGTTACTTAATAGTCTAGGGGTGAAGAAGGCTAAAATGATCTACATAGCAAAGAGTTGGAGGTTAAGTATAAAGGGATGAAATGGTGACTGGGCTGCTGCTGAAAAGGGAGTTTTGGACTTTGACACCTAAGGTCCAGGTCAGCTTGGGTAGCATAGTGATGGTGGTAGGGGTGAATGGAAACTTGATGATAAAGAGGGAGCTGTTTGGAAATTATGCTGCAGACTTTGAATTGAGATCCCCTTGAATGTTACCCAAGAATGAACAAAGACTAGAGTTGACCTTTAAACAATATGGTTTTGAACTGCATGGGTCCATTTACATGTGGATTTTTTTTGAATAAATATGGTACAGTACTGTAAATATGTTTTCTCTTATGATTTGCTTCATAACATTTTTAGCTTATTTTTTGTAAGCCTACAGTATATAACACACATCACATATAATATATGTTAATTGATTGTTATTGGTAAAGCTTCTGGTCAATAGTAGACTATTAGCAGTTTGTCTTGGGGAGTCAAAGTTATATGTGATTTTTGCCTGCCTAGGAGGTTAGCATCCCTAACCTCTGCATTGTTCAAGGGTCAATGGTATTTCCTTTTAAATGCTCTTGATATGCAAACTCAGATTTCTTTAGAGATTTTAGTTTAGAGACTGAACTACCTGGCTTAGTGTAATGGGGTTGCAGAGGTATCCATCTTTAGAGGGTGGGGGAAACTAATCAATTTCGGGTCTGCCCTACATGTTGCAAGACTAGCAGAATCTGCCACTGACAACTTGGTTAGTGACCTCTGGGTGGTGACCTGTGATTGGTGACTCGGTGGAGTGGAAACATCTTTGAGGCAGTTGAACGGTGTGCGGGATTGTATACTTAGTCCTCAGATGAGACCTGAGAAGGATGCCTTCTCTGCCTCCGCATTCCTCATCCCTACAGGGCTGGATTTCTGGGAGATGGAGATCTTAGAGTATGTAAATTGCTGCAGCACAGCCCTGCACAGCCTTACAGGACTCAAGACCTGGTAAATTTTCTTCCTATTGCTCCCCCTTGGCTCATAATTTTGTGCTTTCCTAGTAAAGGTCCCAGATGATTCAGGTGAAGCAGACCAGCTCTAATTCATTCTGCCTCCAGGGTTTCCCCATGATGGGCTTGGATATGTCCTCTTTTGAGATTGTAGGTTGAGGGCATGAAGTATTCCTACAAAAAAGCTGCTATGTTCTAGATCCAAAGGAATTCCATGTATGAGTTATGAAGCAGAAAGACCGATGAAGAGACAAATGAAACCAAAGGATTCCTGATTGTGGTGGGAAGTGGTGGACAGGGACAGCTTGAGGCTGGGGGGTAGTCAAGGGCCTTGTCTGATGCATGACTTGAATCAGATCACTTTTATGCTAGATATCTTACATGATTTGGTTTAAACACATTGTTTCCGAGTATTAAAAACATATTTTATGTAACCTGTTTTCAACCTATAGCTTATAAAATAATATGAGTTTGGGCTTCATTTTACCAAGAAAACAGCACTCTTAGATCCTAAGGTCTGAAGACAACAGGGAGAGACTCCTACCATTCCCAAGCATTGCTTTTCCTTGTAGGATACCATGGTCATTGTTGATGAAGAGTCCACAGCATATGTATAAGAGACATATAATGGGTAGAAAAAGATGAGAGTAGCATTGAGGAATGGCTAGCAAATATCATATTTCAGCCTCTAGGTGCTGGTCTTCTCCTCTCTTCAATTTGCAGGAAATTGAGAGCCACACATGAAATGTGAAGTACAGGACAGCTTCAGATGTCATATTAAGGGTATGTTCTCTGTTCCAGAAATGCAGAGAAGGATGCTTTGAGGGTTAGATGCTGAAGGTTGCTCTTTATTTGTTGCCCACAAGCTTAGGAGTTTGAGGACAAATCCTCTCTGCAGCAGAAGCCCTGCACCGTCACCTAGCTCTGAGGTCCCCAGATGGAGCCCCACATGCCTGCCTGCCTGCCTTCTGATGGTGCTTTGTGAAAACAAAAACTTCCCCTCTGACCTGTCCTCAGTTACCCTTGCCTCATGTCACTTAAAGCCATAAACCTATCACCCAGAAGTTCCCTCTGTCCCTGCCAGAGCCAGGGTAACAATATCATTCATGTCAAAATATGGCCAGAGTGGAGGACTGCAGACACAAAAAGAATTTCCATAAGGGCCTTAAAAGAAAATGCATAGCAGGATCAAGATTGCCCATGGGAAGGAAGATGAGCAGAAATGCTTCTCTCTTCTCCTTTATGTTCTTCCCCAGAGAGAGAACCCAGGGGGAAAATGAACAGAGGGCATCTCTTCCCTCACCCGTACCTCAGGTTCATCATAGCTCAGCCCTATGCCTGCCATTGCAGGCACTAGTTGTCATAGACTGAGAACAAAACTATGTCCCTCTCAGGATTCATTTTTAAAAAAAAGTTCTAGTGAGGTTTTATTGAGATAAATAACAAATACACGATTTTACCAACCATGTTTTTTTGAACTATATACATTTAGCAGGGACTCTGGCTGGTATACTTGCATATACAGCAGAACTACTCTATATAAGAAACGTAGAGAAGTCCTCATCTGAGTGCTCCATCAGAGGCTTCTGGGGGACGGTATGGGTCAGCCCTGTGTTTGCACACGGCCCTGCAGTGCCCGTGAAGTGACTGCATGGATTGTCACTTCTCTGCCCTTAGAACCCTCATTACCTGAATATCCCACCCACTTCTATATGTAAAGGGACCCAACTTCGTTTCTGAAATTGGACATGGGGCTGCCACCTGGCGAATGAAAGTCATGTGGCTCAGGGCTTGGCTGGGTCTGGTGATTAAGCTCAGACACAAATAACACCTGGTTTCTGGAAAGGTTATCATCCCAGCGTGAGGCATGGATACAGCTGCACACAACTCTTACTGACTGTAAATCTTAGGGATTTACAGCAGGTGCCATGAGGGGAATGCTTGTGATTTTCAGCCCTTCTTCGTATGAAGCAGTTTCTTGCAGCCCTTGTCGATTCTCTTCCATAGGATCTGCCTTTAGTTGGGATAGATGGGAGATCAATTTATGAATCAGAGGTTTGCACCTCAAGCCTCATTTCCCCTTAGGCATGTCACCATGTAAAACACTTGGGCCCCATTCTGGGACATTATTTTGTTAGCTAAGGAAGATCCCTAAAGATGGCGGAATGGATAACCTGAGAGGAAAGAGGTAAGTCTTCAAGATGATGTTACATCTTTTTTTCTAAGGGGAGTGGGACCATGTGGAGAGTGAACAGGAGGCATTGGAAGCAAGATGGAATGGGGTTCTGATTTGATAGGTTTGACTCAAAGGCAAAGGGCAGCAAGTTGGCAGCATAGATTTTTCATTTATTGACAAAACTTGTAGTTAAACTGTATGGAATTGGGGGGCAGAAGGAAGAGCTAAAAGGGAAAAGGTACTTGGAATCCTCTCAAATGCCAGGAATAAAGCAGGAAAGTTAGTAGTGGGTCTACATCTTTCCCTACTCATGAATTTTACACATTTTCTGTTTAAATACATACTTCTCTACCCAGAGCTACACCCCTGGGGGATATGTCTATTCCCCTCCTGTAGATTTGGTCCAAGAATCATGAAAAAAATGCAGAAAGAAATCTCAGCACTAGACTTGCCTGGGCAATTTCAGAGTCTTTGATATTGTGTATCTTTGATTAAATTTGGAAACATTTTGACCATTATTTCTTCAAATACTTTTTCTGTCTCTGAGACTGTTCATTTCTTTCTGGCAGTCCCTTTTCCTGTTTTTCAAATTGGATATTTTTTATTCATCTGTCTTCAAGCTCATAGAGTCTTTCCTCCAACTCCATTCTGATATCAAGCCCGCCCAGTGACTATCTTATTTCAGATATTGTATTTTTCAGTTTTAAAAGTTATATTTAGTTATTTTAGACAGTTTCTATTTCTCTTATGAATTTCCTACATTTTAATTGATTATGACCTTATTTTGCTTTTTATAATTTAGCATAGTTAGAATGGCTGCTTTAAAATCTTTGTTTGCTAATTGTAACATCTGGGTCTGCTTGAAGTTGATCTCTTTAGGATTATTATTATTATTATTTATTTATTTTTATTGAGACTGGATCACATTTTCCTGTATGTAAGTCAGTGATTTTAGATTGATCCTGTACATTGTTGAAGTTATGTTGTAACGACTCTGGATTTTTTTTTTTACATTCCTCCAAAGACTTTATTAATATTACGATTTTTTTTAAGGCAGATAGGTGGTAATTTGATTTGATTCAAGATGCAAACTTGTGTCATAGGTGGCAGCTCCAATCTCAGTTCAGGTTTGTTTGTTTATTTATTTATTTATTTATTTATCTCTTAATCTCTCTCTCTCTCTCTCTCTCTTTTTCTTTTCTTTTAAGAGAGGACATGAGCAGGGAGAGGAGAGGGAGAGAGAGAATCTTAAGTAGGTATTGAGCCCAACCCGGCACCTGATCTCACAACTCTGAGATCATGACCTGAGCTGAACTCAAGAGTCAGACGCTTAACTGACTGAGCCACCCAGATACCCCATAATTTCAGTTCTTTATCTTTAGCATGATTGCTTGAAGTCACCTCACACATATAAGGTCAGTGGGAGACCTGGGCCCAGTTTATGTACAGAAGCTAGAGCTTCTTGTCTTGGATTTTTTCCTTTCCAGGATTTCTTCCTTATTTTCCAGCACCTGTGGTTGCCTCAAACTTGGTCCTATGGTTCTTCAGTCAAACATGAGAGGTATTCTGTTCACATTATGGCTGCTTGGATTGGCACAGACTGGAGCCTGCCGCCAGACTAGAAGCTTTTGGAAAAACAATGATCCCACCACAAAATGGAAATTTACACAGAGGCTCATGCAGTACCATTCCCTTCTTCTACTTGTTGGCTTTCCTCCAGAATATGCCTATCTTGGTTGCTCTTTAGTGCTCACAGGTAGTTGTTCTTCATATTTTTGTGCAGAGCCAAAGTGAAGTGGTGACAGATGTTAGTATCAGCTCTAGTGGGCATAGAGTTGATGAGAGAGTAGAGCAGGAGATAGATACTGTAGTATTTGATTCCGGAGGCAAGTCCTTAGAATCCTGTCTGTCACAGCACAGACAAGGAGGGCTCAGTGTCCTGATCAGGATCAGGAGCATGAATTAAGCCCTGTGAATCAGCCTTGGGATCTTTCTCAGTGTGCTGGGCTGGGATCCCAGCCTGCCTGTGATGACATAATGGTTTTCTTAGAGGGTGCCTTGTAACCTTGGGAAATGTTGGAATTATGTGTGGAAGACATGAAATCAAATCAACTGACAAAAAAACCAAGTTCTGCAATGGAGATTGAGAGAGGAGAAATAATGAGGAGGAGAATCTCAGAAATTAAGATGAGTCAGAGGATGGTTGTTTTAGGACAGTTCAGAAAGATAATGGCCTGAAGAGCAGTAGACTGGATTTGGAAGCCCAGTGGGAATTGGGGGTCCTGGGCTAGAGTGAAGGGTTAGTAGAACCACATTTGATGGGGGGAGTGGGAGGTGAGGAAGGCAAGTCTGTGTGTAGACAACCCTGTGTGGGAGAGAGAGGAGTGGGCTCCAGTGAGGGTTGTGTCACTTTGTCACTTTATTTTTTTCCTTTAAAATTGGGAAAGACTGAAGAATGTTTAACTACTGAGAAAAAGGAACCAGGGCAGCCCAGGTGGCCCAGCAGTTTAGTGCCACCTTCAGCCCAGGGGGCCTGATCCTGGAGACCTGGGATCCAGTCCCACGTTGGGCTCCCTGCATGGAGCCTGTCTCTCCCTCTGCCTGTGTCTCTGCCTCGCTCTCTCTCTCTCTCTCTGTCTCATGACTAAATCAAATCTTTAAAAAAAAAAAAAAAGGAACCAGTAGGAGGAAAAGGCTAATACATAGACTAGTATACAGACAGGTCCCTGAGAAAGAGGGAGAGAATTTAGGATAAGGGTGAAGACAATGGCATTGGGCAAGAGGAGCAGCTCTTTTTATTTTATTTTTTATTTTTTTAGATTTTATTAATTTATTCATGGAGAGACACACACACACACACACACAGAGGCAGAGACATAGCAGAGGGAGAAGCAAGCTCCCTGTGGGGAGCCCAATGCAGGACTTGATCGCAGGACCCTGGGATCATGCCTTGAGCCAAAGGCAGACACTCAACCACTGCGCCGCCCAGACATCCCACAACTCTTTTTAAAATGGATTTCATTTAATTGATTGATTAATTGGACACACTAACAAGTACTGAACTTTTTGGGGATAAACATTAATAGGTTAAAAAAAAGTATTACCTGGCCTCTTTATCACAGTGAAAATCTGCATTTCCCACTTCCAGTCTCAGGACCCTAGTTGGCCGTTACGTTATTTCATTTGTTAGACTCTGGTCGAACATCTTCCTTCAGCTTCGCCTAACTCTTGGAAGTTAAGTTGTTATGACTTTCCCAGCAGGGCCACTTTAACCTTTGCTTAATTTGAAGTTTAACTCTTGGCCTTCCAGACTAGTATAACTTTTATGGCTATGCATCTATAAGAGACTTAACATCTTTGACCAATTTTTTTTCTTGGTTCATAGTCGCAAGGGGTACAGGGACTAGGTAGGGAATGTAACACAGGGAGACAAGGGAGTGTCCTTAAAAAAAAGCTACTAAATTTGAGCAATTTCTGGGAAGAATAAAATACTTTTCTCTTACATGACCTTAAAGGCTGTAAGATTATGTGAGATTGGGGACATGCAGTTATGTTGTGGTTAATGGTCGATTTCAGTGAATGTTCTCAGCATAAAAACATAATGAGGAAACATATATTCTGATCAAATTCACTCTTAAGCCACAGTAAATACTTTGGGTGGGGTATAAATGAATTACACTTTTATTTTTTAAAGAGATTTTATTTATTTACTTGACAGAGAGGGAGAAGACAAGCAGGGGGAGTGGCAGGCAGAAGAAGAGGGAGAAGCAAGCTCCCCACTCAGCAGGGACCCTTGATTCCAGGGCCCTGGGATCATGACCTGAGCCAAAGGCAGACACTTAACTGACTGAGCCACCCAGGTGCCCCATGAATTACACTTTAAATTTAAAACTTTACCACTCTAGAAATAGATCACCCCCCTACCCCAACCCCAACTCCCACAAAGGTCATTTGCTTAATTTGTTGATCAGTAAATACAACCATAAGTGTACTTTCACAAAGAAACTTGAATTTTGTACCAGAAAGGGAGATTTAGTTAACAGTTTCACTTTTTAAACACAGTGAGCAAGAGCAAGGGTTTTGCTTTATCAGTTCTTGTCTTTGAATAACCAACTTCAGGATAGCCCACGGGGCTGGTGAGTTTGGTTGGCATTTACTTACTCTTTTCCTATGGTGATGGCAGGAAATGCATTAAGCAGGCTTTTGTTGTCATTGAGCTTGTTGGGCCTTGTAGGAAGGTTCTTACATCCTCTCTGAGGGGGAATTAGATTCCCTTACTAGCAATAATGGCAGAAAAGGAGGTCTCTGTGCGAAGGGTCCCAAAGCATGGCAGGCCTGTGACTGGAAGGCACTACTGGCCGTTTTGGGGTTGGGAGTACTCTGTAGGGCAGCTTGGACATTCAACTCTGTTCTTCTTTGCTTGCCTTAGATATCTGTTGATACTCCTCGGAAATGAAGAGGGCTGAACCCTTGAGTTGCCATCAGTGAACACGGGTTTATATGGGGATGTGTGGTCCCAGGCTGTCTCCACCCCTTTTTGGAGTGAGGAGAGCTCACCTCTCCTTGGGAGCACACTTTCTGAGGAAGGCCACCTTGCAGCTCTGCAGCCTAGGGCTGTCAGTTCCTAGTTCTCTGCTGCAACTGGTTAAGCATTAAACAGATACCAGCATGAGGCACTTGTACACTCAAAAAGAGTAGAAATATGGAACTGACCCTTGGATTCTTGTTTAGCCTGTTCCCTCCATAAGCCCCAGTTTATACAGAGTCAGCTTCCAGATGTGTCAGGTCACTCAGCTTCCTCTTGCTATTTGCCAACTCGGGGCCCATGGGAAGGGAGCCCAGGCCGAAGACCCTATAACTGCTGCTGAGATATATTTTTAAATCTACTCAGAGGGAGTTACTGGGAGTTCAACTGAAGCATCTCCCATTTCCCCCTTAGAGCCCTAGAGAGACCAATTCTCCTGCTTCCTAACTCCCTCCTCCCATCCCACCAAGCACTTTGGGCCCTGGTTTGGGTTTATTCACAACCACGTGTATAATTCATGCAAGACAGGTTACAGTGGAGCGTGTTACCTTTGTTAGTCAAGCATGGCTCAGTAATGCTGCTCCAGATTTTGGCCGGGAAGTAGGTTTTATTGGTGTTTGGGCCTGATGTTTTCCTGTCCGGAAACCTCCCCCTTCTCTTGGCGAGGTTGTTTTGGCAAGCACCATCAGGGAAAATCTCCCTTCCACTTGTCCAGTTGGATGAATGGGTTCCAAGCAAAAACAGGCTGTTGTGTAAATCAGAAGCCCTTGAGGGGAAATGTTTGCTTAAAAGAGTTTGCTTTTGAACAGTCGGGAGTCAAGACTGCCTTGGGAGACAGTGCAAGCCCAAGCTGAGCCCTGGCTCTACCAGCATCGTTGCTGGTGATAGTGCAGTTAGTAGCTTGGAATTTCTGTAACTGTAGGATGTTCTGGGAAGGGAGTACTTCTTGTCTAGTTGAAGACCATCATGCTTTTTCTGATCTATTGTTTTCATATTCCCTGAAATAATGGGAGCACTGATACCAGAGAGCTGAGACGTGAAAGACTCTGTGTCTTCAGCTATTGTGCTGCCCTCTAGGTTTTCTCTAGGATCAAGTAGAGGAAGGCAATCATTATCCACAGGAGAAGCTATTGGGAGTGCAGAAGAGGAGGTGGTAGTACCTTAAAAATAAAAGTTAGCCCCCCAGTCAAGTGACTGGGGCGGGGGGAAGAAGGTGGAGAGAGCAGGCACAGACAAGAGGCCTTCTGAGTGGTTCAGTATGTTTGGAGTGGAGTGTAGGCTGGGACGGAGGTGGGAGATGAGGCTGGGGAGGAAGGCAGAGGCAGGTCCAGGAAAGCTTACATACCATGATAGAAAGTCTGGCTTTATCTGGGAGATGTTTTTCAGCTGGAGAGTAAGATGATTTCATTTTGTGATCTCACTTCAGAGAGTTTATTCTGGCTACGTTATATGGGGATTAATGTAGAAGTGGCGGGAAATGCAGCAGGAAGTCCAGGTAGTAAATTGTCACATGATTCAAGTGAGAAATGGTCAGGGTCTGGACCAAGGGGGAAAGACAAACCAATGAGATGGAGTGGGGGCTGCACTTGGTGAGTGATTATCTGGAGCAGCAACAGGACAGGTCCAGGGTGGCATCTAGGTGTCCGACTTGGGTGAGAGGGGAATGGTGGTACCCTTTGTGAAAGTGGGAAACAGAGGAGGAAGAGCAGTTAGGGGGATAGAGTAGAAGATGAATTCTCAGCAAACGTTCTGTAGAATTGGATTAAATGGAAACCCTTAAGAGCCTTCTCCTGGGTCAATGGTGTGTATTTATTTTCCTTTTAGGAGAGATTTTGGACCTCACAAAGTGTTACCTGTGAAGATCTACCAGCCTGACAAGTTCATCACAAGTGAAGAGAACATGGATCTGCTCACAACATATAAACAGGATTATAACCCCTACCCTGTCTGTAGAATGGGCTCCATCAAGCCTCGGGACAGTAAATATCCATGTGGTGACAAGATGGAGTGTCTGCCTACTTACAAAGGTGGGAGAGTGCTTGAGGGGCAGGTTGGGGAAGGATAGGCTGAGCCTGTGTGCAGGTCAGGAAATGGGTTTTACAGGCACACCCTCTGAGCACAGGGGTTGGGCAAACTGCATCCTGTGGGCCAAATCTGGTCTACAGCCTGTTTTTTAGAGCTGGAGAGCTAAGAATGGTTTTTAAATTTTCAAATGATTAAAAAAAAATCAGACTATTATTTTAGGAAATGTGAAAATTACATGAAATCCAAACTTCGGCATTCATAAGTACATTCTGTTGGAGCACAGCCACACTCATTTGTTTACACATTATCCATGGCTGCTTCTGTGCGATAGCAGTGAATCTGAGTGGTTGTGCTGGAGTCTCTATGGCCTTAGACATTTAATATCTGGGTCTTTTATAGAAAAGATGTGCCAACCCCTGCCTTAACTTGCTGTTGGAATTCTACATTGGGGAAGTGTTTCAAGTTTAAGTTAGGTTCCAATTCTGATTGAGTGACTGATTCATTCATCCATTTCAGAAATTATGGAAACATAATGTACATATAGGAAAACATACAGATCTTAATTTTACAGACCAGTGAATTTTGAGTGAACAAATTTCTTTAAATAGTGCCTAGATCAAGAAATACAACATTGATCCCATGTAGGATAGAAGGATTATGCTAATAGGCACCATGAATTAGTTTTACCTGTTTTGTACTTCATATTAATGCGGTCAATTCATTCTTTTAAAAAAAGATTTATTTATTTGGGGTGGGGGTGGGGAGAGAGAGAGAGAGAGAGAGGAGAGAGAGGATCTCAAGAGACTCCATGCTGTGTGAGGAGCCTGATGCAGGGCTCCATGAGATCATGACCTGAGTGGAAACCAAGAGTTGGATGCTTAACCCACTGAGCCACCAGGTGTTCCTAATTCGTTCTTTATTGAGCATCTGTTACATCACAGGCCTGGTATTAGGAGCTGTGAAGGAAGCATAATGGCCTGCCTTGACTTAATAGTCCTATAGGAGAGATGAGATATGGAGTGGTAGGTACAGTGAAAGCAGTGTGGCAGTCACTCTGTGGAGCACAAGCCACAGGCTGAGACCATGGGAATGGAGGCCAGTTTGTAATCCCCAACTCTTCTGCAATAGGATGCACGAGGGCACATGGTAGCCCTAGGAGTGTATGTTCAACTGCTCATGTAACATGTTTGTGGACTTCCAAATGACTGTGCTAATAGTTGCTTTTATTTTGTCAAGCCACACGTTTAGGCAAGTGGAGGTGGGGAGGCATGAGAGGATGTGGGCATCCTCCTGAAGCCCTCCTAGGGGCTCTAAATCCATCATTCCGAAGACACCACACATGGCCGAGCTTCTCTGCTTCTTCCAAGAACTTGGACTCTTGTCATTTTTCCACTGCATCTTTTTTTTTAAGTTTTTAAAAATTTTTATTTATTTATGATAGTCACAGAGAGAGAGAGAGGCAGAGACACAGGCAGAGGGAGAAGCAGGCTCCATGCACCGGGAGCCCGACGTGGGATTTGATCCCGGGTCTCCAGGATGGCGCCCTGGGCCAAAGGCAGGCGCCAAACCACTGCGCCACCCAGGGATCCCCCACTGCATCTTTCATATTGTTCTCTTCCATTCTTCCACTGTTACCTTCTGTCAAGCTGCATTTTGGACATTGTGATACCCTGAAATGTCTCCTCCTTTATGTACCCCAACATCCAGTGCTCCCAGTTTTCTCTCTTAACTATTCCCATCAAGACCGTTTTTGGTCTCATTGGGATCCCCTGTCCACTGGTGCCTCAGCCTCCATCTCCCCGTCAACCCCTCCTGTGTCTGTGCCTCATGTAGCCTATTCTCTGATATATCAGTGCAGCCCAGATTTTACTCCATCTCTCCTCTGTCCTTTTATTGCTTCCTGCCAGTGAAGCCCCAAACCTGCCTTCTCCAGGTCCACACCTGGCATATACCTGAGCAAGTCTCCAATCCTGTCTGCTTTTATCCATTTTCCACAGAAAGGAACCAAGGAGGTCTTTTAAAAATGGCAGTATGATCTGACCCCTTCTCTGCTTAAAATGCAAATAATTACTATGGTTCTTAGGATAAAATCCCCAATCTTTTCCACCTTCTCTGGTACCTCGCAGATTCTGGTATATCTTCCAGGTGCCCCTCTGCTCTGGCCACAGGACCTTCTCTCAGTTTCTTTTCTGCATTTCTTTTCTGTCTCCAGGCACATTGCACATGCTACTCCCTCTTTATAGAGACCTCTGCCCTTCCCCTGTCTAGCACTCATCCTTCAATGGACAGCAGAAATATCACACCATTTGAAGCCTTTCTAGATCTTATCCTTTATCAGACTATGTCATCCTTTTAGATGCTCTAAGAGTGCCTTGTACTCCTCTGTTTTGTAATCTATTTTGTAACTTTTTGTTGTTGTTTTGCTTAATGTTTGTCTCCTTGGCCAGGCTGTAATCTCTAGGGTGGCAGGGATCTGTCTTTTTCTTTGCTAGCTACCAGCAATAAGGCAGCTTTACAAAGGAGTCATTGCAACCAGGAGCATGATGGGGTGGCATTCTGGCCTCTACAGGACTTCTGCAACTCCTTTTCCATCCAGTGTTTAATGGGAGGCAAGGAAGGGAGTACTGTGGAACCTAAAAAATGGAGGAAGGAGGCACAAACTAGAATGAACCCTTACCTCTGACGGGAAAGGGAGCAGGGACTCTGGTAGGGTTTGTTCAGCTACAAACTCCCCTTTCCTTTACTTACTCCTTTGGGTCCCCTTGATTTTATGAATCATGGTGGAGTTTGAGCCTCTTCAGTACAAGTGCTTGCTCAGCTCATTTCCCCCTCTTACCTTGTTCTAGGTGAAGAGAGAGGTCTGGGAGTGAGAAATACTCTTTGTTTACTTTAGGGTTTGGCAAAGATGGAGTAGCCCAGTGCCATTATTTAAAGAAAACTCCTCTCTATTCCTCCTGACAAAATGCTTACCACTCAAACACACAGAATATAACCCAAAACAATAATTGGATATATTTTATGTTTTAATCTGTCTCCTATTCCTCCCCTTCTCTAAATAGTTACATCTCACATTGCTCCCTGCAAACCAGAGAGTAGTATTCTACTGCTAAAACTGAATCATAGTTAACTTTTCCCTACTGATAAAGTTAAAATTGAGAAAATTCGATTTTCTTTTCCATTAAAAAAAATTGACAGCTATTAACTGCTTACCTACTTATACAGAATTAATGAACAAATACTAGTTAGTATCAGCAGGACTGCTCAGAACCAGGCATACTCAGATGAGGGAGGAGGTTTGTTCTGGCTACGTATGCACTTGGGGTTGGAATTCATAGTTCTCCTCTGAAATTCAGATTTTAAAGCAAGTCAGTATTTACCCAAAGGAAATGCTTCTGTAGTTAGATTTGACCAATAGGCACCAGTTTGCTGTCTTGATAGTCTTTTAGAATAATACTTAAGGGATCCCATAGAATAATACTTATCATATTCAATTAATGTACATAGTTTATTTGTTGCATCTCTTCCCTATGATACGATGGCTTCCAAAAGTGGGCTGTGACTGCTCAACATCCCTATCATTTTGCACAGGTGAGAGCACAACAAAGGCAAGTTTAGTGAGGAATGATGAATAGTCTGGATGGTTGTTTACAAGGCTCCAGGTGACACAGTTTGGCATTAGATTTATACAAATACCCATCCAGTCTATTACTCTGGGTCTTGGCTAGTAGCAGGAGTGAAGCTCAGGGAAGACTCAGGACATTTACTCTGCTCTTGGGTTAGTCCTATAAAACCTCATGCATGTGTGAGGGGGCCTCACCCTTGCCTTATCACTTGGTGTATCACCTCTAAGGAAGTCTTTTCCATAGCAACCTTCATGGTTTTATGGACATACATTGATTCTCCTTCCAAAGGAGAAGAAACACCAAAGCCCAAGGTCATTAAATATGTGTATTTCAATGGGTGCCACCTATGTCTCTATGTTCCACTTACTGTAGTTCTACAGGAAAAATATGCAAACTTTTTTCTTCTCTTATGGCCAGCACCTTTACTGGAGTCCAGAAAACCACCATTAAATATGCTCCAGCAGCACAGCAGCATTTGGTTGTAATTTTGACATTTTCAAAACACAGTGCAATTGGAAAGATTGAAAGTGTAATTACTTGATGCTCAGCTTTAGGTTTAGCTAAGCTTTTTTTAAAGACACATTATTGAATGGAATCCCTTCTAAAGAGATTCTTGCCAATTACCCACATGACACCCTGGCCCTGAAGGGCTTTACTGATGGCTTTTCAGGCGTGTACATAGTTTGTCATGTGGAATTCTGAGGTTTTCAGGGTCCTATGGAGGTTTTTTTTGTAATACATGTTGGGTGGAGGAAGTTAGGAGGTTGGATAATTATGTGGTTTTGACTGTATTGTTGGGTATCAGAAATCACATGAGACAACTTCCAGCCTAGGAACCTGTTTTCTTAACACTTCATCCATCACAGAAGAGGGCCAGAAAAGCCCTGTCCTACCCACCCCCACACACCTTGAGGCAGTGTGTAGGCATCTACAGGTAGATGCCCCCATTTTAGTGAGGTCTGAAGTCTGAAAGGGAAACATGTGGTTTATATTCAGCAAGATGGTTCCCTCTAAGGCCCCCTAATGCTTTCAAGATGCTGATAGAGCCATTAATGGCTCTCAGAGAAAGATTAGATTTTCAATTAAAATGAGGCCAATTTAAAATAAATAGTTGGTAGTATTATTGGCCTAAAATAAACTTAAGAGTGTGCCTGGGGGTGGGGATGTGAGGACCTCTGGAGTGGTGGTGGAGTGAGGAGCTTAGTAAATCCTCTTCCTAAAAAGCAACAATAAAACCGGACAAAACAATAAAACCCAACCATTTTAGGGCTCTGGAAATCAACTAAAGGCACACAACATATTGAGAAGCATTTATTCAAGAAAAACTGCTAAACCATCATTATAAAAAGTGGGAGTTTGTGGTGTTTTATCCTAGGGCT